GCCCGGCCGCCGCGAGGAAGGGCAAGGTCACGGTCGGAGCGCCCATTCGCGCCTTCGGATTTTGGCGGGGCTCTTGAACCGGGCCGCGGGGATTGGTTGTTTTCCACCGCTCAGCCCAGGCTCCTCCCGCCCACGCGTCTGTCTGCAGGCGTCAACGCCCCACACGGGCCTTCGTTATTATCACGTGCCCGGAGAGAGCCTTTCCTACCACTTAGATATGCACCGGCATGTACGTAACTATCCTGAAACAAGAGGGTCACCCGTTTTTACCGTAATCGTAGTGGAGACCATTGTTTGAAAACCACCAGGCTAAACCAATACTACATCTTAGGGGCGGATTGGGTTTGTATGCATTTGGGTACTAACCTCAAGGTGAGCAAATCTAATCTACTATGGGAGAAAGAGGAAGCTTTCTGCTCCTGTAAGATTTACAGCCTCGGAAACCAACAGAGGTAGTACGACTCCACCCTATAAGGGTCACTATGAATTGGAATCGCCTTGATGGTAGTGGGTCTGGGTAAACCAATACTGGGAGACACTAGAGGTTCCCTGCTAGAAGCCTCACCCTCCACGTGAGAGACTGCTCAATTCTAACCAGTGCACTCCGGTGCATTGTGCAGTCACTACTCATCTGTCACCAGCGACTTGTGTGTCACCTTAATGCTGAACAAGCTACAGAACTGCTAGACTAAGACTGGAAAGAAAGGTCTGGAAATCTTCAGAAAAACAGACAAGAGTCCAAGTGTCTTTAGCTGACCATGGGATGGTGCAAGAGCAGGCAGCATTCCATGCCGTTGTACATGGGGTTGACGTGAGTCAAATACACGTGGCACTGGAGATAAACCTGTCAAGTTCATTTTGACTTGTGGCACCCCAAGTGTGTCAGACGAGAACTGTGCCCGCAGGGTTTTCAATGCCTGGTTTTGTTCAGATGTATGTTAAGTTTCTTCTGAGGCCCCTGTAGACGAATAAACCAACCTTTCAGTTAGCAGCCAGGCACACTAACCATTTGCACCACCCAAAGCTAAAGGACAATTTTTTAGGTTGTATAATTTCAGAACAAAATGAACTTTGGTGGTAAACAAGCAGCTATCTACCTCAGAAGCAACAAAGCCCACATGGAAGAACACATCAGCCTGTGTGATCACGAGGTGCCAAAGGGATTAGTTATCTGGCGTCAAAGAACAAAAAACCATGATTGTGTGCTCACCTCCGTGATACGATCCATGCAGACAAATGGGTGCATAAGCAAATGTGGCGAAGAAAGCTAATGGTGCCTGGCTATCAAAAGCTATAGCGTCTGGGGTCTAAAAGGTTTAAAGGTAAACAAGCGGCCATCTAGCTCAGAAGCAACAAAGCCCACATGGAAGAAGCACACCAGCCTGTACGATCATGAGGTGTCGAAGGGATCAGGTATAAGGCATCATCAGAACAAAAAATCTTACCATAGTGAATGATGGGGGGAGTGTGGAGTGGAGACCCAAAGCCCATTTGTAGGCCACTGGAGATCCCCTTGCAGAGGGGTCTCAGGGAGGAGAAGAGCAAGACAGTGCGATGTAGCCCCCTTCCCCACTCCCCTCCCCACTATCATGATCCGAATTCTACCTTGCAAGTCTGCCTAGACCAGAGGATATACACTGGTACAGATAGGAACTAGAAACACAGGGAATCCAGGGCAGCTGATCCCTTCAGGACCAGTGGTGTGAGTGGTGATACTGGGAGGGTAGAGGGAGAGTGGGTTGGAAAGAGGGAACCGATTACAAGGAACTATATGTGACCTCCTCCCTGGGGGACAGACAACAGAAAAGTAGGTGAAGGGAGACGTCGGACAGGGCAAGATATGACAAAATAATAATTTATAAATTATCAAGGGCTCATGAGGGAGGGGCGAGTGAGGAGGGAGGGGAGTAAAAATGAGGACCTGATGCCGGGGGCTTAAGTGGACAGCAAATGTTTTGAGAATGATGAGGGCAATGAATGTACAAATGTGCTTTACACAATTGATGTATGTATGGATTGTGATAAGAGTTGTATGAGCCCCTAATAAAATGATTTTTTTAAAAGACAAACAAATAGCTTATTTTTTAAAAAAAAGAACTTTGGTAAAAATCTTTTAGTCACCGACACCGACTCCATTTTATAAATGAGAACTAGGATGCCCAAACAAGTTAAAGGTGCCATCTTTATTCCTCTCTATTCCAAAAACTAAACTAGGTTCGGAATCTAGACCTCCTAATTTTCAGCCAGCACTACTGCCCAAACCCCTCAAAGCGTAGGGGTGTGTGTGAGGTCCAAGCATGAAAGAGATGCACCATTGTTAAAGAATAAGGATGAAACTGTGGACTGCCTCGTGAATGGATGGATTACGAGGGCATTATGCTGAGGGTAGTGAGTTTCTCACCAAAGAGCAAATATTGTATGAGACCACTGTTATTTAAAAGAAAGAAAGGGTTTTTATACATTAAAAAAAAAAAAACAAAAAAAACACTGATGGTTTCCAAAGGCGGGAAGGGGAAGGAGGAAGTGGAAAGGAATAGGTTCATGTGTAGAAAGGTGTTAATTTGGGTGATATAATTTAAGAAACTATATCCTACCAGAGAAAGATGGGCCAAAAAGGAGGGAAGAGGCAATAGGGCAAGCCATTAGGAGGGTTGATAAGTTATTTAAGTTGTTGAATGTGAAAATGATGATCTGATATGTAAGCCTAATTCACAATTGAAGTTTTTTCTAAAAAAAAAAAAAATCACCCTAGAAAAACAGTGATCCTAAACCTTCACCCAATTCACAATAAAAAGGGTTTTTTTAAACTATTTTTTTAATGAGGAGCTGATACCAAGGGCTCAAGTAGGAATGCAATGTTTTGAGAATGATGAGGGCAACAAATGTACAAATGTACTTGACACAATAGATGTATGTATGGATTGTGATAAGAGTTGTACGAGCCTCAAATAAAATTATTTTTTTTAAAAACTTTTTTTAAGGATAGGAAATAATTAAGAATGCTCAGGAGCCGTGGTGGCATAGTAGGTTATGTATTGGGCTGCTAAACGCAAGCCAGATCAGCAATTCAAAACCACCAGCCGCTCCATGGGAGAAAGATGAAACTTTCTACTCTTGTAAAGAGTTACTGTCTCGCCACCCACAGGAACAGTTCTGTTCTGCCCTACAGGGTCACCAGGAGTCCAAATTAACTCCATGGGAGTGAGTTTAAATGATGGGACTGGAACGCACATGGCCCCCTGGGCAGAACTGGCACATTCAACTCAAAGTTCTTTTTTTTTTTTTTTCAACTAAGTTCTTACAGACTTGTTTAATTTGGACGCAAAAGAAACAATTATCTCAAACTTTTAATGAAACAAGTCTTATTCTAATAAATAAGCCACTGAACTTGGAATAGACTGCCACGTTGGTGTACGATATTGAGAGAACCCGAGACCACACGGAGTATTGAGTGGAGACCGATATCTCTGGCATTCTGACCCAACACTTGTTTAGACAATCACTTATAACACTGGTATCTCGGCAATGGAAGGCACCAAAGCTTTCAGGGATACAAGGCAGGCTAAGAATCAAGAGCTTGTATTTTTAAAACATCTACTTGAATGTGTATTAGGCAGATGCCTACCCATTTAGTCCTCACAATAGCACTGGCTACTATTATGCCCAATTTACAAAGCTCTTACTCATGGCGATGCTCTAGGCCAGCGGTTCTCAACCTGCGGGTCGAGACCCCTTTAGGGGTCGAACAACCCTTCCACAGGGGTTGCCCGATTCATAACAGTAGCAAAATGACAGTAATGAGGTAGTAATGAAAATAATATTATGGTTGGGGGGTCACCACAACATGAAGAACTGTATTAAAGTGTTGCGGCAGTAGGAAGGTTGAGAACCACTGCTCTGGGCAGTGCCCCCGCTGCTGCTGCCACACACATCCCCACCACCACCACCACATGCTAGCTGTGTGACCTTGGCCTAATAGCATTGCCTCTATTTCTCCATGTGTGAAATGAAGATAACACTACTTTACAGTGTTGTTATGGAATTGCCCTTGGCATATACCCACTAAACCCACAGCCATCCACTCAATCCTGGCTCATAGGGACAGAGTCCCTACAGGACAGAGTAGATCTGCTCATTGAGCTTCTAAAACTGTCCATCTTTACGGGAGAATTCAGGTTCGCCTTTCTCCCTCAGAGCAGATGATGTGTTTGAAAGGCTGACTTTACTGTGAGCAGCCGTCACTTCGCCCACTGTACTCCCAGTTAATAATAATCTTAAGTCAGCTCTTACTATTGCTATTTATATGCAAGGCTAGGTGTTCTCATGGCAGGTAATTCAAAACCTGAACTTCTCCATCCCACCAATTTGCTCTGGGAAATACTGGGCTGTGGGGAGATATCATAAGATCCTTTGAGAAGTCAATGAAAACGATGAGCTTACTCCCCCAGAAAAGCCTTCACAGTAGAAACATCACATACAATTTTGCTTATAATTTCAGAAGACTTAAACCAAAGATCCTCATATGCACATCAGACAATAAATATGCCTCATATGCATGCCAAACAATGAATAAGGAAAACTGAAAAAGAATTCATGCATCTGAATCATAGTGCTGGTGAAGAATACTGAAAGTACCATGCGCTGCCAAAAGGGGCAGATAAATCTGTCTGAGAAGAAGTACAAACAGAATGCTACTTTGAAACAAGGATATCAAGACTTTGTCTCACATGCTTTGGACATGTTATCAGAAGAG